ATGGCAACCCACTCCAGTGTTATTGCCTTGAGAATTCCATGGATAGAGGAGCCTGGTGGGCTACAGTCCATGGAGTTGCAAAGAGTCGGACTCGACTGAAGCACCTAACACACACACCCACACCCACCACCCACCCAGCGCCGCGGCCCCCCACCCACCCCATTTGGCAAGCTATCTGAGAATGCCCCGTAATCTTTTTTTACTGATCACAGCCTTCACTGCAGGGAAAAGACTTTTAAATATTAAGAAGGTGATGATATAAAAGGTGAGTTATCGTGTCTGCCCACTTTAGCCGTGGTCACAATCAAAATTGAAGCAGGTGGTTTTAATCTGTTTTCTTGCCTTACGGCAGCTTCAATGTGGGGAGAAAGAAACACAAAGTTGGCTTATAAGATTAGCCTCTGGATAAATTTACTTGTTGCAAAACCAGAGGGCAGAAGGCAGCCCTGATAATGGAGAAAAGCCCCTTTCTTCCCACAGCCTTACCCTTCTCCCTCTTCTGGACAATCTCTTGTTCACATTGACACACACCAAATTCTTGGGGGTCCTGGGAGGACATAAAATGAACAAGACATAGTTTCCTCTTTAAACTTGATATGAAAGGTATCCTAATGGCAAAATCATCAGAACTGTTCTTCCTTGTTTTGTTAATTTTTGTGAGGGGATTAATTATTTTTTTTTTTCCTTTCTCACACACTCATGGTGTGTGTGAGAGTGTGACACAGGTAGAGAAAAAGACATCATGTAAGCAAGCAGAAGCAAGATCCAGCTCTGAAACGGACTTTGTAGAGCTGGTCTGCTAGGCTGTTCAGTGGGAAGGGTGATAATGCATAGACTACCCCCAGGCACTGTTAAATCTTGCTTAGGGAGAGGTCTGAGTTAATTGAGTTATTTAGGTGGTAGAATCCTGGATTTGGGCATTTTCATACCAGAAAGTTAGCTTTCACACTAGAGTTTATTTTATACGTGGTAAGTAACTGTCACTTTAGCACAGTTAAACAAATTTTATTTTCACTCTTGTTTGTGCAGATTGTGTGCCTGGCATTTACTTTTTTCTCCTAGTCTGTGGCAACACAAATGGAAAAGCATGAAATAAATGTAGTGTAAATGCATTTTCTTCTTTTCTCCTTATTCACAATTCAGAATCTGGAAAGAAAGAAGGCATCCAGCCTAGCTTTGATACCACATTTCTCCCGATATAATAGGGTGATGATCGTCCTGTCACTACCTGTCCTCCTCACACCCTGCCCTTTGTATTTTTGATCTTCTCAGAATCCTTTGTTTATTTGGCTCTATCCATGGCCTACTTTTTCTTTTTCTTCCTTTCCTCGTATGGCTTGTCCCCCAAAGGCCTTTGCTCTAATCATTTGACAGCTTTTTCAGAGTTTAAGAAAGAAACCCCACAACACAGACCCTCTCGTGGGGCTTATGGTGTCCCGGCTGCCCCCTCCTCTCTCCCATCCACCTCAGCAAAAACACCCTCTCCTCTCCCCTGTCCACGCCCTCTCCCTCGTGATGCAGCCAGAGGTTCCAACTTGCTCTGGGACACGTGACGTGACTTCACTTGTGCTCCTGGGCAAATAAATCCTCTTCATCTGTCCCTCAGCCTCACTCCTCAGTCGACAAAGACATGGTGCAGGTTTTGTGCTCCGAACTGAAGGTGAAAACTGTGATGTGCAGGAAAGACTGCAGTTCTGCCTCCTGCTGTAAAATGGAGTGGAAAATGTCCGTCTTGCCAAGAAGGTTGTAAAGATGAGCATGGTGACGGTGCCTGGCCAGCGCGTGTCTACATGCTCAGGAAATACCAGCTTTCCTTATTATAAGACAGACACGAGAAGTCCTGACCTCTCTCTGGAAGTTGTTTAGTTGTTTTTCTCTCAGTCAGCCTTTCATTTGTATGTCTGGCTTTTACCTGAAACCCATTTTTTTTTCCCCAGTCTTAAGCAGATCTTTCTCCCCACCCCACACCTCCTTCTAACTCAACCTCCTTTCCCACTTTTCCTTTTTCTGTTACCTGTGTGTGTTTGAAAGCTGGCTGGGGGAAGAAGGTCTTCAATTTTTTTTTTTTTAAATACTCTTTCATGCCCTATGTCTAGTTATAGTCCAGTGGATTCATCCTTTGCAGAGCTCTTCAGTCCTTTCTTTGTTGGATAGGTGATCATCTCTCTTCTCATCTAAAACTGTATTAAGCGATCGCCAACCTTTTTGGCACCAGGGACTGGTTTTGGGGAAGATAATTTTTCCACACACAGGGTGTAGAGGGTGGTTCAGGCAGTAATGGGAATGATGGGGATCTGAGATGAAGCTTCCCTTGCTCACGTGCCCACCTTCACCTCCTGCTGTGTGGCCTGGTTCCTAACAGGTCATGGGGCGGGGGGAAGGTTGGTGGTGGTTGGGGACCCCTGCTTTATTACCTTAAAAATAGGGTTTGGCTTCTTGTCCTGAGACATTTTAAATGTCTGTCAGAACAGCTAGCTCTTTGAATGTATCTAATGTTTGAATTGTATCTCTGTTGAGTGTTTGAAACCATAGGGTCCTTCAAACTCTGGAGTAACCAGTGATTCAGAAGGTTTTGTCTTTAACAACTGAAGCAGTTCCTTTATTGCAACTGTGCTCATGTGTTTTTTACCAACAATTAACTTCTGAGATACATAGTATTTACAGTTGGCTCAGTAGGAATTCCCAGAAAAAGTGAGGATATGTTTTGACTTAGGGGTATAGTCCATTGTCTATATCTTAACACGAATACATGATTATAAATGAGCTTAGGACATTCAGTCTTTTGAAGGTGAATTTCTTTTAGTTGCAATTTTTAAAAATATGATATTGCCACCAACCCATTTATTTTTCTCACCAAAATAAAGGTAAACATGTTCTGCCAAGCAGCATGCAATGGGGAAAAAAAAAGGAACTGATCCCTTTAAGGTGGAGCGAACTAGAAGTTCTTGTTATTTTTTATGTAGGCTTGCTTTATTTACTGAGTCAACAAGTATGCATTGGGCTCTGACCCTGCAGGATCTATGCGAGGCACTCTGGGCTGCATTGTCCTACAATGGGGCCTGGAGCTGAAGTCTACGCTGTGGCCTCTTCTCGTGACCCCCACACATGAAAATAGGGGTGGCATTTTTAAGTGCTAGAAAAAAAGAATGCATGTCAGAGGTCTTTATGTGACCCACAAGGTTTAAAATATTTAACTGTCTGGTTATCAGCAGAAATGTATGGGCTTTCCCAGGTGGCACAGTGGTAAAGAATCTGCCTGCCAAAGCAGGAGACACAAGAGACACAGGTTCGATCCCTGGGGTGGGAAAGATCCTCTGGAGAAGGGAATGGCTACCCACTCCAGTATTCTTGATTGGAGAATTCCATGGACAGAGGAGCCCGGCAGGCTACCGCCTGTGGGGTCTCAAAGAGTCAGACACGACTAAGTGACTAACACTTCGACTTTTTCAAATTATTGACAGAAAAAATGTATCTGCTCCAGATCTATAGTTTATCTTCCTTCCTCAAGCTTTTATTTTAGCAGAAAAGAAGTAATAAATGAGGAAACAGTGAAACAGGAGAATTAATGTCTGGTTTTGATGACCGCTGGACAAGAGAATAAGTAGGATAGGAGAATGACTGGAGGAAACCTGGGGCAAGTGGATAGAGGTTGAGGTGGGATTCTTTGAAATTAGACTTGAACATTGTGAATGCACAGACTGTGAAGAGCTGGGCTTACTAACCTGTTCTCAGCCCCCTAGTCCATTCCCCTCTCCTCCTCCAAATGTCTGCTTGCCCATAGTATTCAGCCGGATGTTTGTTCGTAGGAAACTTTTAGAACTTCTGTCTCTTGGAGAGCCTATACCATGGCACCTGTCACTCTGTAATCACCTATTTGCTTCCATTCCTCACCCCCAACCCCACCCCTCACTAGACTTGAAATATCTTGGGGTCAAGGACATGTCTTGGTAATCATGTTTCTCTAGGTATATAGCTCATAAACTAGTTGAACAGTTAAGTTAATCTGTAGATTCAAAATTAGATTCCATCACGCAAGTTGTGAAAGTCAGATGTTTCCTTTAGCAAAACAGGTTCTTAAGTTTAAATTCTGTCATTTATCCTATTTATACATATCCTTCCCACTCCATCCTCTCTCCTCCAAGCAATTCTCCCCTTTCATTTCAAAAACAATTCTTGCTCCACCCTAAAACTTGCCCATCTCCTCATCTTATTTAAAAATACTATTCCTTCAGTTGATCCAGCCCCAAACTAGGGATATTCTTTGATTCTTCACATTCCCTCATCCTTGCCTATCATGCCCTTTCCTTTAGCACCTATAACTCTAGACCCATACCTGTTTTTAGCATATTTACTACCACCCCCATGTTGGGCCAGTTCCACCCTTCACCTGGACCCGTGTAGCAGTGTGCTGACTGGTCTTTCTGCTCCCACTCGTAGCTTCCATATATCCATTATTCATGCAGACCAGCAAATATTTTCAAACTCAAAATAATATTGTGTCAGTCCCTCCACTAAAACACACCAGTGGTTTCTTACCAAATTTAGAATAAAAATTCTAAATTTTTAAATTTAAAAATCTGAACTCACAGCCCTACATGAACTGACCCCTATCTTCAACCTCATCTCCTTATTGCTCTCAGCTTCTAGCCACACTGGTCTCCCCTGTTTCCTCCTTAGGGTTCTCTCTTCCCTCCTTAGGGTTCTCTATTCCCTGTTGCCTGTTGAATTATTAGGTGGAATTCCGTGTTAATCTAGTCAGCTCTGTGAATATGTAAACCAAGTAGTGTCAAGTTAGCACAATCACAGTGAAATCCATACCCCCAAAGACATCCCCATTCCTGATTTTTATCATCATGCTTGTGGTACCAAAAGTTCATGGTAACAGGCAACTGACTTAATGATAACCCTTGTTAAAGGCCCTGGGAAAGGAAGTTGACAACCTTACTGACTTCTAATGGTGTTAACTGATTTCTCTTTTTCTCCCTCTTTTTGCCATGCAGAGTATGAGCTGGAAGTAAAGAGGGTGCAAGACATTCTTTCGGGAATAGAGAAGCCACAGGTATGTCTTCTGGATTTCTCAGCATAAATGGTGCTCTTTTAAGTATTTCAAACATGCTTTTCTTTTACCACACAGTAGGTAAGCAAAAGGGCCCCTTCCCATTGCAGATTATTCATAAACTATGAAATAGAGCTGTTATTAATGGAGCATGAAAATATAAAACAGCAGTCTTCTGTTTAGTCATCCTCCACTAAAATGTCTTCTTTATTTAGATATTCTGAATGCAATTAGGTATTCATCCCAACATCCAAGGATACACCACCACCAACACCACCCCCACACATACAAGGTCCACAGAAAGTTTTCTTTTGGTAATTTCCCTTTACCTGTGTAAATGTAGTAATAATAATTTTTTGAAAACCTCAGTAATTCAAAGTATTTTTCCAGGTAAATTTCAAAAGATACTTAAATATTAGCTGAGTAAAATAAGTCCAAACTGTAATGGCAAGAAAAAAAAACTGGTGGGAGTAGTGATATTGTGAGATTTCAGTTTGATTTTGCCAGATGCTTTGAAATTCAAGTGAAAAATTCAAAATGTTGATTCAGCCTTTCATCTGCGTTTAGAGAGCCAAAGTTCTTTGGAGGGTTTTCTAGCTGAATTGGAAAACCTTACTTCTTCATGTGTTTCAAATACTGAGACTTTTAACAGAAGGGTCCAAACATGCCTCAGGGCACATAGTTGAGTTTGACTCAACCTAAAAACATGAGGTGTGCCGGACTCTGGGCACAATACGGCACTTGTGGAGGAGCAGGGTGTTGATGCTGGGTTGGGGAGTCTGCACTTAAGCCAGTAAGGAGCAGGTTGCTGCTGAGAGTTTGCGAGCAAAGAAGCTATATAATCAGGACTGTACTTTTAGGAGGATCAAACAGTGGGCAGGTGCAGCGCAGTGAGCAGAGAGAGGATGGACCCAGGGAGACAAGTGTTAGGAATGTGTTACTATAGTCCTGGTGAGAGACCATGGGAGTCAGAGTTAGGGTGATGCCCCAGGTGCTGCAAGGAGAGGAAGGACACGAGAGCCTTTCTAGAGAAATCCATCAGGCGCGCCAACCTGTTAGATATCAGGTGTCACGGATAGCTGGGCTTTCAGGCTGAGATGCCTCCTTTCAGGGGTTGCTTCCTCGGAGCTGGCTGCCCTGACTTTTGTCCCATCAGGTGGGATGCTCCACTCGATGTTTGGTACCACTGGTCTTTCCTCAGCCTCGCTGCATGTATGTGATGTATTGTACTGTTTCCCTGCTTTTGTGTCTTTCCCAGTCATTTGTGAATTCCTCTAGAAAAGTTCATGTCCGTGTCCTTTTTCTGTCTTCAGTGCCGTTCTTAGACATGTGGAATTTGTTTCACAAGCAGGGTATCCAGGAAGATGAGTAGGTGGGCAGTCCAGAGGATCTGGTAGATCAGTGCTGTGGAGAGAGAGCAATGAGATAGCCGTGGGGGAACACGTGCGAGGTGGTGCTAGGAGTGGGTGGGTAGCTTTGCGGATGGGGCCGAGTGCGGGGAGAGATTAGAGCGGGCTTGAGGGCAGAGTCGTAACGCAGGCGGAGGTGCCCAGTGCCGCAGAAGGAACCCATGCTGGACTCAGAAGTCATCGTCGGCGCGAGAAGGCAGGGGGACAGTGTGGCCGACTGTCCCAGCTGCACTCGGACAGCTGCATCTGGTCTCTGTCATGTACACACACAGTGTTTTTCTCAGTTATACCTGGTCATTTCTTTACTGCAGATGACAGAGTCTATTCCTGAGGATCATGTGGCTGCAGTAAGATAAAAACAGTATTTATACACATTGGTCCTTGCCCCAATTCAGTGTTTATTAAGTGCTAAAACCTTTCCAGGTTTTACAGCAAGGTAGACAGGTTTTTGTGTAGATAGTCATGATGTTCAGTGTACTTATAATCAGATTGTTATCTGAGAGGTCAGAAAGTCCCAAGTGGGGCTCATTTGGCTAAAATCAAGGTATCAGCTTAGGCTACACTCCTCTCTGGGGCAAATCTCTTTCCTCACCCCTTCCACTGTCTAGAGGCTGCCCGCATTGCTTGCTCACACCTGTTCCATTCTCATACCTCCTTCTCCTGACTCTGACTTTCCTGCCTCCCTCTTTTACCTACAAAGACACTTGTTACTACCTCAGGCCTACCCAGATAAGCCAGGGTAGGCCCTTCCTCACAAGGTCCTTCACTTAATCATATCTGCAGAGTCTCTTTTTACCTCTTAGGTTCCAGGGATTAGAATTCAGACATCTTGAGGGAGGCGTGTTGTTCTTCTGTCCACCACACCCACCATTGGTCCCCACATAAACCTCTGCTAGGTGACAGTCCACCCATCCTTCTGATCCCAATTAATTATTTGCACCATTCTTCTGCCTTCCTTCCTCTCCTCTCCCCTCTGTCTGAAGTTGTCCATGGTTGTGTCTTATTCATCTTTGTGTCCCTAGTACCTCACACTGTCCTTGGCACAATGTGAGCCCTTAACAAACATTTGGTAAATAAATGTGTGGCAGACTGCAGTGGCTGTAGTGAGGCTCCGCCAGGTGAGACAGATGCTGGTAGCCTGGCCTGCTCAGATGAGGCTCAGCCAGCCTGGTGGGGTGTGGGGCTGGCTGGGAGCCAGGGTGGGAGGCAGCAGCATGGAGGGCCGGTGGGGGGTCCTGTGAGTTGAGGCCCAGCATGGCCATTAGCTGTCTTTGTGACCCTGAGCAGAGGTTTCCTTATCTTTGGAAAGTTGAATAATAAATACCACATTGGATTATCTGAGAAGTAAATTATATGCTATTTATAGAGTCCTTGGAATGGAGTATTTTCCTATAGTTTATAGCATATCATTAGGCAAAGGCAAGACTCCCTGCAACATGCTGAAGTGGGAAGGAGGATTGTTCACCTTCTAGGAAAAGAAACAACTGCAGAAGGTTCGGCACACAGTTATCTAAAGGATTGTTTTTTTTTTTTTTCTTGCAGCCTCATCTGGTAACACTTCCAAATAATACTCATGTATTTTTCTTCCACGTTTTGCAGATGATTTGTTGTAGGTATAGGAGCATTATCAAGGACCTGTAGATTGTAGTCATCTTTCTAGAACTTTGGGCACCCTGAATTAAGCAAGTCATTTATGCTTCAGAAACCCAAATACTGTAAAGATCCAAGTACTTATTCATTTATTTAATGAATATGCTTTATTTAATGCTTTATTATTAATTTATTAATTAATTATTATTAATGCTTTATTTAAGCAAGGTACAAATATACTAGGTTTTTGTCCCAAGATTGTAAAAATTAGGTGTCTTGGGGCATACTCATGTACCACTGCTATACCAGAGAAATAAGCTGGATACTATTCAGAGTGGTTTAGGAATTAACCTCTGCAGTCCCAGTCAGCTCCAACCTGACATGGGTTAATCTGCTCTGGTGATGCTCGATGAAGTCTCCCCTGAACCGCCTGACAGTTCGTTTTCAGTATGTAAATAAATGTAACCAGGAATTGCGGTTCTGCATCATTTCCATCCGCTAATGTTTAGCTTGTAGAAACAATGGATTTGTTGGCTCCAGACAGGAGTAAACGACCTAAGGAGAACAACAGTCCCTACAAGAAGCAATCCATTGAAAGATAAACAGTCATAGATCTGGAGACAGATTCAAGGGTCTTCGCACTAAGGAATTATTCTAAAATCCCTAAATTTGAATATACTTTTTCTTTGAATAATGATCTCTTTGACCTTTTCCTTTTAAATTTTCCTTTATGTTTGTGTTTTTTTTGTGATGGTACTTTAGAAGTGAAGCCAATATTGCTATGGAAATATTTTCTTAACATACTCCCTAAATTGGATCAGCAGGCCTCCCACATAGTTAAATCCTAAGACCAGACCAAATTTAGAAGCTATTAACTTACACAGAAATATTTTTGAACATGGGAGTAACAGTGTAGTAACTTTATGAGAGTAAGTGGTGTTTTGGATCCAAATAATGAATATCATTTGCATATAAGATAGTCTGAAAATTAAGACAGTAAAAGTTCACAGAATAAAAATACTAGCATGAACAGGAGATAAAGGGAAAAAGAGAAAGAACACTGAGGATTGCATATGAAATAGCTGCAAGATATGCAATCTTATCATTTGTGAACATGAGTATACACATATATATGCCTTTAACTAGCAGCTGTTCTCAAGTTCACATCTATATTTAATAAATACATAACAGATATGATCTCTAATCAGTGTGTAATCATTGAGAAGTAGATAGTGATTTTTATGAGTCCTTCAGAGATACTTCAAAGCGGTTTCAGTAATTTCTACACAGACCTACAATAGTAACCTTCACAGTCTCTAGTGCTGAAACGAATGTCACATTGGGCCTTGTCCAATAATTTTGTAACTGGCAATCACCGCTTTTATCATCATTCAAAGGAGATTGACTTCTGTTTATGTAGAATAGTTAAACATCAGAAAGTCAGTTAGTTTTATGGCTTCTAAACTTCTTTTTTTGGATCACTGCCATGACAGTCATTGTGATGATCAGATTAGCCGTGCCCTAGTTCAGTTCAGTGGTCACCGCTGGTGAGAAAGTTTCACCAGAGAGAGAGACCCTGGTTGAATGAAGGGGAAACTTGTTTAAGAATGCTGTCACTCCAAAGTAGACTTGAACCCAGCTTAGTTCTTAGAGTTCTGAATCCCTCATTAAGGCTATCAGCTCCCTGGATGCTTGGAGTAAAGGCCTCTGCTACTGATGACCCCCTTTACATGACATTCCCCTGAAAGGCACCGTGTAATTCCCTGGCGTCAAACCTGGGATGGAAGTGAGTTCCAAGTTCTAACAGAGACAAAGCACTCTTTCTCTCAGGATTCTAATGCCTGAAGAAAGGAAACCTGAGACCCAGAAAGGCTCAGTGAAAGGCAGGGCAGGGGGAGCACAGGAGGGACCAGGCCCCACAAGTCTGGTAGTAATCTAGGTGGCAGGCTGCTCAGATCCAGGGAAGAATTCCCAGAAGCTGCCAACCTTTGAAAATGATGCAGAGTTCTCCAAGTGCACTTCCGTTAGGCTGGCCAGTGGGAAGGATGCAGAGATCTGTGTTCAGATGATAGTTGGCCTTCCTAAGGCTTGCTAAGGGAACCTCGGGAAAAGGTGTGTTATTTTAGTTGATGCTTCAGGTGTTGTACATCACTCTTGAGTTAAGTAATAGTTTAACCAAGTCCTAAAGGGCTTCCCCCCATGGCTCAGCGGTAAAAAATCTGCCGACAATGCAGGAGATGTGGGTTTGATCCTTGGGTTGAGAAGATCCCCTGGAGTAGGACTCACCCCAGTAATCTCACTGGGAAAACTCCACAGACAGAGGAGCCTAATGGGCTGCAGTCCGTGGAGTTGCCGAGTTGGACACAACTGAGTGACTAAACAACAAAAGGAAAGAAAGAAATTTTTTTGATTTGATTTACATATATTGTCAAATGATTATCACAGTAGGTTCAGCTAATATCTGTCATCTCATATACATACAATATAAAGAAAGAAAAATTTTTTCTTCTTGTGGTAAAAGCTCTTATGCATACATTCTTAATGAGAATGGTAGAGTTTAAAGGGATGTGAATTTATGGGTACCTGTTCAGTATCTAAAGTGCCAGCATTTGACTGAGCTATTTTAAGATGTGATGTTATTTCACACCACCATTCATAGAATCAGTGTTACTATACTCTGTGCTCTTGGAATTGGGCCATTTATCATCTAGGTTGAATGTTTCTTAGTACCTAATCAGCATCCTTTAAAGTTATAAACTGAACTCTTCCTGGCAAAAATATCTCTTTGTAAGTTAAAAATCAAATAAAGTATCCAGTATCTCTAAGCTAGTCATGAATGGTGTGTGAGTAATTCAGCAAATATAGTGGTGTATGTGGTAGAAGTACTGCCGTAAAATTCAGTCAAGGGAACAACCCCCGAAGCAGAGCGGCATGAAGCGGGTGGTACATGTCAGTGCCCACACAGTGTGGTTGGAGCACGAAGAACAGCGCCAGATCCTGAGCGGACGGTCGGGCACTGTATGGAGACTTTTCATGAGCTGGTCTCAAGCTTCTCTGGGGCCCTGTGTGTTCAGTGGGTCTGCCATGAGGCTCCTCATGCATCTCTCGGTCTTCATCAGGCGGAGGTCCTATCTTAATCATCTCTGTGTCCATAGCCTCTCACCAAGTAAGGTGTGTTAAAGGCAGGAAAACGGGCAAGTCCAGAGCTAAGTCTCAGGGTGTGAGAGGAGATGGCATGCTGAGGGGGCAGCGGCAGGCAGAAGAGGAGCTCTTAGTCTGGAGTCGAAGCAAGAAGGGTAGAGTTCAGTTCTCTAACAGTGTCTTTTGGGGATTTTTTAAAAGCTGTGTATAATGCTAGCCTGCCTTCCATCTTGTGACCTGTATCAGAAACTCAGGCTGTCTTACTCTTTTCTTATTTTTCATTCAATGTTTACCAAACAACCACTACTCGTGGTTGAATATGGCTTGGGCCTTCTCCTTAGGGAGTCCCACAGTCCAGTGAGAAAGGTAGGCAAATGCGATAAACGTGATTAGCAATGGATAGAGATAGCAACAGGTGCTGTGGAACAGAGACCCCATAGGGTGCTTCAGGGAATGCTACTTGGGGGTAGTGAGCCCTAGGCTTAGGGTCTTGAAGGATGAGTAGGAGTTTAACTAAATCATTGGTTAAATATATGATGCTATGTCTATTTGGAATAGAAATGATGTGCAGGGCTCTGCTCAAAATGGAATGAATGATAGACTGAAGAGGGAAATTTGGTATTCATTTCCATATTTATTATTCATGCTTTTATATTATTTTGTATTTTAATACTCTTTATTTAGGTCAAATAGTGACAAAAAAATAGAAGAAAAGAACGTAGTTTAGTCATCTCCATCCATAGCCTACTAATCTATGGCTATAAAGTCTTGTATGGACATTAAACTTTAGTATATGTTTTAACTCTTATATTTTTAATATGTTATTCAGAGAACAACAAAATGAACTTTAGGAGATCAGAACCTTAAAATGCACTGATAGATTTATTTTAAAGAATTAGATTGGGCACTAGATTTTTGGTTTCTCTAGAAACAGACTCTGAAACAAAGATTGGAAGGCAAATAGTTGTGTGTGGGGAGGTGCCCCAGGAAGCACAGTCAGAGACGAGACATGAAATTGCAGAGGAGAAGCCAGTTAACCTGTTAACAGGTTAACCTGTTAAGGAGCAGGTTACGGCTGCGGGCAGCTGGGTCTCAGTCCTGCTGAGGATGCCCAGGAGACAGTGTGAGTGCTAGCTCAAGGGGAAAAGTTGGGGCGTTTAGAGTCCCAGACTCCTTTTTTCAAATGAAGTCTTAAGTGGAGGCCAAAGCAAAAGATAAAAGCAGAGCCTAGAGAGGTGGAACATTTCTGCACTTCCTTCTGCCAGCTGTCAGCCTGGGCCATTCCATTTCTACCTCCACTCCCAGCCCTACCTCCCCCCATCCTCCCGCACCCTGAAGGCCTTCCAGGGACCTGCAGGCCTTCGAAGAGCATGATTTGGAAGATCTTGGCTTTGCAGGATGATTCGACATCAAGCAAGCCTTGGAGTCTGCCAGAAAGTACTATCATGGAGATTTATCACGTTCAACTTTTTACCTTTAGAAAAATTCTTGGACATGACATTATTTTTACTCTCTGAAGGACCAAGTGTGAATTACACCAGACTTGGACATAAGTTTGCATAATAAGGACAGACATTTCAGGAGTTACAGTTTGGACATCAGGACCTTGACAAGAGAACACAATATAGAATGGGTTTTCTTTGCAATTAAAATAAATTTGTGAATTAAAATCATTTTTTCTTGAGTTAAATCTGAGCCATTTTTATGCTACTGCTGATAATCACAAAATGTTCTGAGGAGAAGTGTGGTGTGTGATTCTTGTTTTTCTTCCTCAGGTTTCTAACATTCAGGCAAGAACAGTTGTGTTGTCCTGGACGCCCCCTGTTGGACTTTCATGTGGACCCCACAGTGGTCTTTCCTTTCCCTACAGTTATGAGGTGGCTTTGTCAGACAAAGGACGAGATGGAAAATACAAGATAATTTACAGGTAATGTATATTTCCATGTGTTTTTCTCCAGCTGCTAAACTGTGAAATTGGCGTTATTAAGGAGAATAGAAAAACAAAGAAAAATTAAATGGCTTTGTAAAATTTCCTTTAAATAGTTCTTTCTAAGAATTAGTGATAATTACAATGTCAAGAGTTAATTTTGTCCTAGTAATTACTAATCAGAAATGACTTTCATAGAGCCATTCGGTGTTGTTCAGATGTGTCACTTGGTTATGTTAGCTTGCCAGCATAGGACTAAAGAAGATTTTCCATTACTGTTGGCAGGGCAAAAAGCGAGTATGACATTTATCCTGCCCTCCTATGCTCACCTTTTAGGCCCAGACCTTTTACTAGTCTACTGTGTGGTTTTTTCGAAATTCTACAATGTGGTTTCTATTCAGCCTACTTTTTATCCTCTATGATAGTTTTCCAGTGTGTAGTGAAGCATTTTATTTGGAGGCTATCTTAAATAGTCAAAAGTTTATTAGCACACAGAATAAGAGATTATCCTCTTCCACTTTATGAACTCCCAGATATTACCCATTCACATGATTTATAGCTGTGTTCTAAATGAGATAAAATATTCTTTAGGGTCAAGCGTTTTCTCTTTTGTGATTGCTGGGTGCTCTCAGATTTGCAGAACAGGAAATGGAGGCAGTCTGTGTGACCTCTCTGTGGCTGGCCCCAGGAAGTGCTGCCTGGGCCCGGAGTCGTGAGGTCGCAGAAGTCCACTTCTTCCTCTGCCAGACAGACTGCTTTTCTCTCCTGTTTCCCTGCTACAGACCTTGCATCCCCCCCGCCCCAACCAGCTCCAGCCCCATTCCTTATTACTAAGTTGCTGTGGGGATTTGTCTCCTTCTGGACAAAGAAAAGGGGGGAAGAGAGGGGGTAGGCAGCCGTTCAGTCACTCTGTCCTCCTGTGGCTGCCCATGGAGCTCTGCCATCTCTTCCTGGATTCCTGCAAGAGTCTCCTCAGGCCCCTCCAGCATCCGCTCTGGCAAGCTGTCCTCCCATCCAGCCTCCACCCTGCAGAAACAGAAGTCAGGCCGTGTCGCTGCCCTGTGAAAGAGCTCGGTGGTGCTTTTTCACTGTCCTCCGAATGTAGTCCTAACCCCTTAACTCTATTGGGTACTGTTTTGAAAAGTCAGAATTGGTAGTGACCTTAACAAAATAAAAGAGCGCCATTTCCCCCAGCATACTAGGAAACAGTTTCTATCAACACGTGATGGTCGTTGGTGGCAGGACTTGGAGTCCCAGGTGCCCATAGGTGAGAAAGTAGGAAGCTTGGGAATGAAGTGATTGGGAACATCCCTGTCTTCATTGAGAAAGCAGCTGCAACTCACCTGAAATAGGTTGTTGCATAAGGGTTTATAGGTCTGGATTTGTGAACTCCTTGGATTTTTTTTTTTTTAAAGGAAATGCTGAAAATCTGAGTTATTTTGTAAGCATTCCTAATTTTACACTATTAATTATTGAGCAAATTTTAAAAACTTTAAAGTCAAGTCAAACAGCAGAGCTGTAGCCAAGGTGTAGACATTGGCCTTCAGTTTGCAACTTTTAGAAAGCATTTTTATTTGAATAATTTTCAAACTTACAAAATGTTGCAAAAATAAAGAGATCGAGGAATATGTGCATATCCTTTACCCAGATTCACCTGTTATTAACTTTTAACTCTATTTGCTTTACTATTTGATTTTCTCTCCTGCCTTTTCTCTCTAAATCTGTTTTTTTCTATTAGTTTTAAATATTGTGGCCCTTTACTGCTAAATACTGCAGTGTGTTTCCTAAAATATTTTCTGAAATAGCTACAATGCAGTTACCAACTTCATGACTTTACATCAGTACCATATTTTTATCCAGTCCCTCATCTACATTCCCATTTTGTTGGTTGGTTAAATAATGTCTGGTAGCATTTTTCTTCCCCTCTAAGACGAGATCCATTCAGGGTCAAATACAGCAGTTAGTTGTCATGTCTCAGCAACCTTCTTTAATTTGGAACACTTCTGCCGTATTTCATTGTCTTCTAGTACCCTGACTTTTTTTTTTTATCTTCTGTTTTAATAAAGAAAACTAACACATGTACACACTCTTTCAAAAACAAAAATGTTAAACCTAGCAGGTCAAGAGGTTTAAAATATTTTTAAAATTATGATTACATTTTGAACATACAAAAAAGTAGAAAAAGTAGTACAGTGAGCTCCAGGTAATCATCACTCAGATTTAACAGATTTTCAAGATTTTGCCACATTTGACTCATGTCACCTTTATCTTTATTATTGCTATTATGATTGAAGAATTCGGTAGCAGCTCACAGATAACATGTCAAATTTACTCCTGCATAGTTCAATAGAGATAAACATGGACATTTTTTACATAACTGCAATGCTTTTCTGGTGGCTCAGACGGTAAAGAATTTGCCTACAATGCAGGAGACCCAGGTTCAGTCTTTGGGTTAGGAATAGATCCCCTGGAGAAGGAAATGGCTACCTACTCCAGTATTCTTTCCTGGAGAATTCCATGGACAGAGGAACCTGGAGGGCTATGCTCCATGGGGTTGCAAAGAGTCAAACCTGACTAAGTAACACACAATCTCATTAACATCTAGAAAAGCTAACAATAGTGCCTGGCATCATTTAATACCTAGACCATGTTCTAATTTCCCCAGTTGTCTCAAAAATATGTTTTAATGTTGTTTTCTTCCCCTTGGAATCCAAACAGAGTTTACTTACTGCTTGGGATTATTTGATCTCATAAATGCATTTTAATCTAGAAGAGTGTCCTCATCCTTTTTCATTTCTGTAAAATTTTATATTTTAAAATGTATTTTTATATATAAATATATTTAATTTTAAATTTAACTTTAAAATTTTTTATTAATGTATAGTTGATCTACAATATTGGTTTCAGGTATATCTTCCATCCTTTTTAAAAATTCTTGACCAGTTGCAAAGAGTGGATCACTTTTTTTTTACCACTCTGAATTTAGTTTAATCTTCCTTCCCTGTATTTCTTATTAATTGATCGTCAGCTCTGGAGCTTGATCAGATGCAGCCTTTTAACATTTGTGGGAGGTTTTCGTCAGGGTAGCTCTATGTCCTTCCTATTCCAGCACGCTGGGAAGCACTGGAGCTTGCTGGCCTCATTGTGATTAAATCATGTTTAGGAACAACCCATTGGTTTTTTTTTTAAACTCACTTATTTACTTCTTTGAAATATTGTTTGCATACAGTATTACATTAGTTTCAGGTATACTACATAGTGATTCAAAATTTTTATAGATGAACTCCATTTTAAGATATTATGAAGCATTTGCTATATTTCCTGTGCTATATGAGATATCCTTGTAGCTTATTTGCTTTATACAAAGTAGTTTGTACTTCTTAATGCCTCACCCCCATCTTGCCCTTCCTCACTTTGCTCTCCCCACTGGTAACCCCTAGTTTGTTCTCTATATCTATGAACCTGTTTCTGTTTCTTTATATTCATTCATTTGTTTGACTTTTTTTTTAGATTCCACATATAAGTGATAACATACAGTATTTTTGTCTGACTTATTTTACCAAGCATAATACCTTCCAGGTCCATCCATGTTGTTACAAATGGCAGAATTTCATTCTTATTTGTGGTTGAACAGACACTGACATTTTTGAAGTTATGCCCCTACACACCCCTCTTACCTTTAAAAAAATTTTTAATGGGAACATTCCATATTTTATGTTAGTTGTTTCCTCATGATTAAGTCAAGGTTCATTTGCAGTTTCTGATCAAATAAGTGGTTTTATTTTGCATAAGAGAACTATTTATTGGAATGTATCTATAAGAGAGCTGTTTATTAGTATTGATATGTGAGGGAAACAGATTGAGATTTCTTGAAGAAAGCTGAGAAGTTGAAATGGTTGGGGTTCTCTCCAGGGTGAATCTGAGAGTCACCTTCAGTTGACAGTTGGTACTGTTATTTACACATTTATCTGTGTATCTGTGTACTCAGTTTTTTTGCTTCTTTACTTACTTTCATGTAGTTACTTTGAAGAAGTGATAAGACATTTTGGAATTTTATTCATAAGTTAACCTTACCCTTTTCCAGATCCTGAATGACATGATTTAAAGGAATCTAATTTGCTAGTCCCGAAAAAATGATAATGCCAAATAGGGAAGTTTATTTCTGATATATGGCAGAAGTAGACATAATAGTGAGGATGAGATGGCCGGATGGCATCACCGACTTGATGGACATGGGTTTGGGTAAACTCCCAGAGTTGGTGATGGACAGGGAGGCCTGGCGTGCTGTGATTCATGGGGTCGCAAAGAGTTGGACATGACTGAGCAACTGAACTGAACTGAACTGAGACATAATAGTTCTTGAACTTTTGTTTGTACATGACTATGAGACCCAAATCCAAAACCTATTTTATTTTTGAAACTGTTGTCGTTGACTAATACGTGATTTTTCTTTGCAGTGGAGAAGAATTAGAATGTAACCTGAAAGATCTTAGGCCAGCAACCGATTATCATGTGAGGTGAGTACTGGGGACTTCAGATTGCTAAAATAAATGGTATGCTCCTTTTTAAAAGTATCTGGTTAATAGCACTTGCCTGGCTAAAAGTTTCAGCGCCTTTGCTCATTGGCCATTTCTCAGTGTCCCTCACTTTCTGGCATCAAGATTGGGAGTCCACAGAAGTGCATCTGGTCATAGAAAAGTAGATGATACCCTGAACAGAATTTTTAAATTATTTTTATAAAGTAACTTTTATTTCACATATCCTTCTAAGATCTATTGGAACATGTGGCTTAATGTATGATATTTTCTTTCTATAAAGCAAATATAGTTTTTTACCATGAGTATATCAGTTATTTCATTATAGACCTTCCATGCGAACCATATGTTCAGCACGAATGACTAAATAAAGTCCTTCCCATGTTTCAAGTTTGGACCATAAAAGGCAATAGGTTTTGAATTTGAAGTCTAGTAATGCAAATATCAAAATTATCTCTAACAAGAACTAATGCAGTTTGCCAAAACAACTCACATAGTTTGATATGTAGTCTGAAATCTCTTCTGTGATTTTTTTGCAATCTCTTTCATGACTGCTCTGGAAGGCAGGGCCTGCTAATTTTAGGAAGAAACCCTGCCAACCACCGACCTGCAAAGAGAAAAGTATCAGAGCTCATCTGATTATTCAAAGATACATCGATTTGCAAATAGGCAGATTTCTTAATCTGAATGTGATCCATAATATCTTTTTAAGTTTTAATTAAAACTTTCATTTTATATGATTTTTAATTTATCCAGAAATTCTTATTTTATCTAATAGGGTGAACAACAACAAATTCTCTCTCCTTTCTTCAATCGTGCATGTGTATATCAAGATTATGTAATAAAATTGCAAGCATCAAGCACATATCCTTTGTTATGTTTTACAATGGTTAGTTGACACATGTTCCATTGTGGTGGAGTAGAGACAGCATAGCCTAATAGGAAGAGCATTATATCGATAACCAGTAGGCTTGACTTCTAGTCTGGTTCTGCCATGAATTGACTGTTTCGGCTTCGGCCACTCACAGAGAATGCATGCCAAAAGTTTCTCGGTAACAAAAGTAGAGCAAGCTGCGGTGTGTCCAGGTGGTAACATCTCATTAGCTGCACACGCGTTTAAAGCGATGTTTAAAGCGGCGCATAAACGAGCCGGTTTTTACATTCAGCCGTAAAGTGTACATCTGCTCAGCTACCGCACTGCTTAGATGAACTCTATGGCAACCGTCTTTTTTTCCCTTTTGAATCGGAACTTTTGGATTTGGAGTCAGTTAGCTTTAGCCCAAAAGTATTGAACTTTTCACACCATCTACAAACAAAAAGATTTGTGTAACTTGTGAAGCAGGAATGATAATAGTTAAACCATTCTTTCAAATAGTGGGTTTAACAACCAAAAAACAACAGAAAATGCAGCACCGTATGGGGAGTCATGTAAATGTTTTGCATGAGACATTGTTAACATGTGTTTCTTTTTTTCTCTTTTAATGTTCACTGCCATTGCTTTACTGACTTTATTAATTTTCTGCTCATCCATGAGCCGATGATACCTTTTTTTTAAATGATGTAAATGTCACAGTCTGCCCTTTATTTACTGTCCTGTCTCTTGTTTCCCTTAGTTTCTTTTAAACCCCTCTTACAAAGGGTAAACTTTAGAGTTTACTTGCACATTAATTCTTCTTACGTGTCTTCTGAACACCTTCAACTTCTGGGCAGATAAAAGGAATAATTAATGGAATCCCCCAAAGAAATGTTACCTCCTAGGGGCCTTGGACCCAAACTTCCTCCTGACACATCAAGGACCCCACCTTAGTGACATATTTGACACATATGTGACACTACACGTACACAGCCCAAGGCACCACCAACTAACATCTAGCCTAGCACTCTACTGGCCAGAGAGACGGAAAATTCTCCCTCTCTTTGGTAATAACCTCTTCTAGAATTTTAAAAAATTCTTTACTGAGAAAAGTGTGTACAGTCCAAATGGTAGTCACTTTGATCTGCTATGTAGACCATTCCTTCTCTTTCCTTATCCTGTATAGCCTTTCCATTTTTCAAACTAGAGAAGACTCTCAGCCCCTACTTAGAGTCAGTTTCCTCTGCCCTGGATTATTTTCAGACGCAGCTTGATGACACTGTAGACAGAGCTTGGAATATGCAGTTAATGGCTCCGTCACTTACTGTAGGTGTGTGATTAGGCAAGCCATGTACACTTCAGTGACCATGTTTTCTCATTCATAAAATGAGGATAATGATATCAGCCTCAGAAAGATGGCATGAGAGCAAATTATATATATGTGCAAATCTATTATAAACCTGTAACATGTATAGATGTTGTTTTTGTTTGTTTTATTATTCCAAAGTTGTTCTAAAAAGAAAAAGGACCTTTGTGATGCAGGTCCTTTGAACCTAAGTATAGTTTGACCATACCACTCACTATTTTATTGAGATAAAGATGTATCATAATTGTTGCTAAAAAAAGGAACAAAATCTCTTTTTATGATGCAGTATTAATATTCTCAGCATCTTGGTTCTAAAAATATAAACTTTTATCAACACGGTGACCTCAAATATAGTTTTAAATTTAATAGTCACCTATAAGGCCTCAAACTCATTGGAAAAGACCCTGATGCTGGGAGGGGTTGGGGGCAGGAGGAGAAGGGGACGACAGAGGATGAGATGGCTGGATGGCATCACTGACTCGATGGACATCAGTTTAAGTAAACTCCAGGAGCTGGTGATGGACAGGGAGGCCTGGCATGCTGCGATTCATGAGGTCACGAAGAGTCAGACACGACTGAGCGACTGAACTGAACTGAACTATAAGGCCTCAAAGACTGTGTGGAAATATTTCCTCACTTTTCCACAATAGAAACGCCAGAAGAATTCCGTTACTATACAGCTGCAAAATGAGCCATTATATTCATTGCCATTTTTATTTATTTGTACATTACCAATTTCAAGAGTGTTGCCTTGGAAGAAGTGTGGCGAGCTGATGATGAAAATAAGGATGCTTTTAGCAGCACCGAGCCAGCTGAATCCCCTTCCAGCTCTTGGTAGTAAACATTTTTACGTAGGCTGGTGGAAATCTCTGTCCAGATAACTCTTCCGTAGAGGGACGGGTTTCTTTCTCAGGTACCGATGTCTCACCTGGGCTCCTTTTTTTTTGTTGCTTCTGATTTTGCTACTCTGATCCCATCCCCTTCACATTGATTGCTTGTTATCTCTATGAGTTCTTTTCCAACTTTTTCCTCCCTCCTGTTAGTGAGTATTGTCTGAGTTCATCAGCCAGATACATAACCATTTTTTAAAGTGGCTGTCATGGCTCAGTGGAGCAATGGATAGCACGTTGGACTAGCAGTCTCTCAGTCATGGAGCTCTGTCATTGAGCTGTCTGGGGCTTGGCATCAGTCTCCAGGCAAGAGTCACTCTTGACTCCTACTTGCCATCACCTCACTGTTATTGGGAATAATTTATTAAGAGACCAGTGGCATCTTTGAGACTGTGCTATAGATCATATGTCTGTGGCTGTTTAGACTGGCACCTGCCATGCCCTCCAGGCCAAATTCCACATTAAAAATTGTATCCTGAGACATTCCAGGCTTTAAAGATTTTTCCCCCTCACTTTTTGCTTTGTATTTTTGTGTAATTATTCCACATATTCAACCACTTTTTTTTTTCTCCTAGTGATTGATGAAAGTAATTCCTCAATAATTCCTCTATTATGTTGATTTAAAAAATCTAGGTGCTGAGTCCTGAGTTATTTTTATTAAGGTCATCACTTTAATTACCCAGTTCTTAAACAAATTGCTTCTTTTGGTTTAAAAGGAGTCAATTTGTTATTGTCAAAGTGTATTTATTCAGTGCTTCCATATAAGGCATTGTGTTATATATTGTATAACACCACCAATGCAAAATTTCCCGTGTGTGTGTGTGTGTGTGTATGTTGAGGAAGAAAAAGGAATAAGAAAACTCTAGTGCATATATACACATAAATAAATCACATTCTATTTTATAATACTTATGCATAAGTATGTAACTTTTATAATCAAAAACATTTATATATTTGTTTATTTACACATATGCAAAGAATAGTATATTCCTCTCAATTGGTAGTTTTATAATTGATACTGACATTGAAGCAATCATTTTACTGTGGGGGTCAAGAATTTATATTTTTATAAGTAAAAGGATAATCAAAATTTTGAGTGATGGAATTGATAGCAATTTAATGACAAAATGTGAAGCTATTTTCCAGTCACTGGCATAAACAATTTGGCAAAGAAGTTGCCCAGAGATGATATCATGTAATAACATTTCCCAGAAAAATTATGTGATGAAACGTTTCCAAAAATATGGGCTTGACTAGCTCAGAGTAGGGTTATGAAATAGGTGTTATTGACTAGAAATTGTTGCCCCTAGTATGTTACAGATGTGCTGGAGGAAGTTGGAGGCAAATTTCTGAAATTCTTGGAGCACCTGTTTCATAAGCAGTTAGTTAGTATTTAAACTGAAGCAAATGTAAAAACCCAGCACAAGATTAATTAGAAAAGTGTCCTCCTTTCTGCTGGTATAATTGCTTAAAGAACTGAATTGTTTGCTGATATATTTAACCTAGGACATTGGTCCAACTCCACAGATCCTCCTATCACATGGTGATTAGTAGAGAAAACACATCATCATGTGAGAAATATTACTGCAGCATTCTTGAAAATGTAATGCCATTTCCAGAGACTTTTCTGTGAAAGTTGCTGGTAAAAATGGAGCTGGTAATTATTGCAATTAGTTGCTATCTATTCACTAAACCATTTGAATTGACAGACGTAATCATAAGGCACTTCAATAATCATGTCAAGTTTTAGATCCTACATGCAGCACATTTATAAAATGGCACGTAAAATGGATCTTGTTTCCTTTGCAGACAGATTTTTATTAGTGCCGAGCACTGACTCCTCGTTTAGACAAACTGATGTTCTTGAGTTTAAAGCCAAGGGGAATGACTCCTGGTGGCCCACACAACTGTCCATCCTCAGCTACCTCAGATTTTCACCTGTGCCATCAGGTTCCTTCATATTACTGTCATCCTCCCGGTCTGCCTGTCAGGAGCCTCCTTTATTCGTGTTTCGCTAGCCTAAGTGTGGATTTGTGACTCCAAGAACCTCATTAAAAATATAGAATGAACTTGGGACTGAGTCCAGCTCTTCCCAGATAACCAACTGTGGTCTGCTGGTTCTTGGCAGGCCCATCCCCTCGCTCCTTTCCCCTGCTCTGTTAGCCACGTGGATTCTGGTGCTGAATGTGTTTGTGGATTTTTAGGACTTGGTCTCCCTGAGTACAGTCTGAACTCATAAGCAAATGCCTACTGACCACAGTGTGAGATATCTTCTGGGAATGAAAGTGGGTAAAGAGGATTGGGTAAAAGGCAGCTTAAAAAGCCACCTCAGTGCCAGGTAGACGGTAGGGAGCGACAGGGACTCTGACCTGGACAGCGCCTGCCCCATCTATAGAGGGGCTGCTCTCAGTTTCATTTAATGTCTGTCATTTGGCACTTTGGTCCAGTGGTTAAGAATCTGCCTGCCATTGCAGGGGACCCGGGTTTGATCCTTGGTCTGGGAAGATCCCACATGCTGCAGGGCAACTAAGCCCACGCGCCACTACTGAGCCTGTGTTCTGAAGCCCTCGAATTGCAACTCCGGAGTCTACATACCACAGCCACTGAAACCCATGCACTCTGGAGCCTGTATTCAGCAACAAAAGAAGCCACCCCAATGAGAAGCCACTGTACCACAGCTAGAGAGTAGCTCCCACTTGCTGCAGCTAGAGAAAGCCCATGCGCAGCAACCAAGACCCAGCGCAGCCATAAACAAATAAATCAGAATAAACCCGTGTCTGTCATTCAGCTCTGCAGTTGAGTGTTGCTAGAACTTACACTCTTCAAGAGAAGCCAGAGATTCATTTTTTAAAATGAGATCTTCATTTTTTCCAACGTTGGCTTAATTTTTGACTTTATTTCTGGAGATTTCAGTAGTCAAAAGTGGGCAGTAATTTAATGAACTCTCATAAGCCCACCACCCAACTTTTTCTTTCCTTGGTGCCTTCACCAGCCCCCTCCCCCAACAGTTATTTTGAAGTGAAGTCCAGACATACTGTTTCACCTGTGAACCACATTACCATCATCACACACCCCTTGCCCATCCAACATAAACAAAAATTGTAAATTCCTTAATGTCTTTAAAGTCCAGAGACTGTTCCCATTTCCTAAACTGTCCTAAAAATGAAGGTTTTGTTTCTTCAGATTGTTGTCATTGGAATTCACACATAGTCTGCATATTATGTTTGGCTGATAGCTCTTAAATTTCTCTTAAGCTATAGATTTTTCCCTCCATCCTTTTTTCTCTTCTTGCAATTATTTGTTGAAATAATAAATAAAATTCTGTCTGTAGAATTTTCCACATTGCGAATTAGGCTGATTGCATCCCTGTAGTGTTGCTTAATGCGGAGAAGGCAATGGCAACCCACTCCAGTCCTCTTGCCTGGAAAATCCCATGGGCCGAGGAGCCTGGTGGGCTGCAGTCCATGGGGTCGCGAAGAGTCAGACAGGACTGAGCGACTTCACTTTCACTTTTCACTTTCATGCATTGGAGAAGGAAATGGCAACCCACTCCAGTGTTCTTGCCTGGAGAATCCCAGGGACGGCGGAGCCTGGTGGGCTGCCGTCTGTGGGGTCACACAGAGTCGGACACGACTGAAGCGACTTAGCAGCAGCAGCAGTGTTGCTTAATGGTGTTCTCTCCACGTTTCTTATAAAGCAGTGAAGAGGCTTAAACAGATACAGCTTCCGTTTTTCTGGCAGGGATTTTGTAGATAGTGGCATGGCCTCTCCTCAGGAGTATGTGATGTCTGCTCGTCTCTTGTCTGGTGGTCATTGCTGGTGTCCTTTAATTCATAGGTGGAGGTAATATTTTAACACCATCTTTCTTCCCTCCCCGCGCACATATTTTGGGCCAAATACAACCCATGAGTGATCAGTGGGAGAATTCAACTGATCTGTTAAAGTTCAAGCTGGAACTCTGCCCATGTCTGGAACATTTTGTGATTCCTTTTAAGCAACTTACTCCCAACAAGCCTGTCCTGATGCACGGAAATGATCCTGCCAAATCTGCCATTCCATTTTCTATTATCATTTGCCTACTTACAGCGAATGCAAAAAGGAGCATTTCTTTCATCAGGTTGGGTGTACCTAATGATAAAACATCTTTTGTTTGGATCACGTATCATGGTATGCTCCCGTAAGGCAAACAAGTCAAATAGCCAATAAATGGAAGCGAGGCATGTCTGTTAGTTCTTTTGATTTGTATGGCCTTTGTAAAATTTTTGTGGTGGACTTTGAGGAGGAAGGATTTTAAAAATCATATACCTAGGTAGGTCCTATTTTCCGTAATGTTATCTTTAGCTGTTGTTTATTCATTGAGCAGAGTGAGGGGAAGTGAATTGTGGGTGTTTAGAAAAACATAATTGCAGGATGAGTCAGGACATTGGGGAATACAGGATAGCAGTTAGATCTCCATGACTGAGTACAGTTGATCCAACTTTCCAGCTGTGTAGCTTTGGGAAGTTTACTGCACTTCTCCAGTCTGAGTGTTGTTCTGTCTTTAATGGCACCTCATAAAGAATTGTTAAGAACTAAGGGCTTGATGTATTTACCAATTCTGAATAGCTTAATCCATGCATCTTTTTTGGCAGCAAAGGTTTCTTTGTTGTCTTTTTGAAAGAGTATGTTTTCAAGCTTTTTTTTTTAATCCCCAATATTTTTTGAAAAAAAGGAAAAGTAGAAAGGAAGATGATAAAAATCAGCATAATCCTATTTTATGCTATTTGCAAGGAGTGTCGTTTTATAATAGTGTGTTACATGCTTTTTCTTCACAGCTTCTCTGAGAAATCAGGTCCATATGTTGAATGTTGAGCCAGGCATTTTAATGTTCAGAGTGCACATTTTTAATCTTGACTCCAGGTGTAAGAGTTGGATGTTCACATGGATAAACTGTACCTGAACAATGTTGTTATTGAACTAGAGAAAGATGCACTTGGCAGTAGCAAGCCTGTTTCTGTGTGAAATGTTCATATTTCTATTTAAATATTTGCAATATGATAGTTCAAAGATGGTATCTACCTTATTGTTTGTACTTCCACCTCTCTCTCCCGGTTTGTGCTCTCCCCACCATTTCTTGTCTCCTTCCACCCAACCTTCAACTGCACTTTTAGCCTTATTCCAGACAAAGTCAACCAGAGAGAGGGGCTTGATGGATTTTAGAATATATACGTGGAGACCATTTCGGGGAATAAGGATATGTCCTTATTTAGCATATTCTTTTCCGGTCAGTAGACTCAGCGTATCTTAAATGAGGCTGGGTGGTTCTGACAACTAGTGGGAGGAGAGAACGCATTGAGGCACATGGCCTGCTGGAATTATTTTCCCCTGAAAATGGTGACCATAGTTAGGTCAGAACAACACTAGCAAATAAGAATAAGGGTCGCAGTGTGTATTACATAAGAAATTCTGTTCCTGTAGGGAAACCCTGGGGCAAAGCTGAGATTAACACCCCAGTCTTGTGTGATAGGCCTCTGACACTGACTGTATTGTGTTTCCATTCTCAGGGTATACGCTATGTATAATTCTGTAAAGGGGTCCTGCTCTGAGCCGGTTAGCTTCACCACCCACAGCTGCGCACCTGAGTGTCCCTTCCCACCTAAGCTGGCACACAGGAGCAAAAGTTCACTAACCTTGCAGTGGAAGGTGGGTAATGCAGCGTGTCGAGAAGAATGTTCTGAAGTCTGTGACTGTTTGAAACGTTTATTTAGCAATATTCCATTTTGGTATTGGTATTTTCTGCATTTTGACTGTGAAACAAATTATTGTGATATCAAAAGTTACCATCTCTGTAAAAATTGGGCAAAAGAATAAGAGAGAGAACTGTGAAGTCAAGTTTTAGCTTTCTTTGCAGGGGAGTCTCTTCGGGTAATGAGCAGTTCTTTCTAAGTGGTAAAAATACTTAAGATACCTAAGTGTCATCACTTTCTAATAGTTTAATGCATTTCAACAGACATTTGAGGACTTGAGTAAAAAGTTTTGTGAAGAAAGATTTAGAGCTAAAGTAGATTTATGGGTCCATTGGCTTCTTTCAGTGGTGACTCTGAAATGTCTAATACTTAAATCTGCCTAGAATGTTTAGTGTTCTAAACTACATTAAGATTTCATGAAATTTTTGCCAGTTAGACCTTAGATCAGTTAGGATTATTATTTTTTTAACATCTGAATTATGTAGTAGTTTTCATGAAATACAACTTTTAGGCTACCAACAACTCTTGAGAAAGAGAGCCCCTTAAAGTGTATTATTAACTTACCAGCCATAGTTGTGTATTTGTAAGAAAATAGACTGTTACCAATCTCTATAGTGATTATTTCTATATACTTATTTAACACTTTAAAATATAGTTCAAAATGTAAAATTAATAGAAGTCAAGATAATAAAGACTTATAGTACTGGGAAAGAACACTGATGTGCAAATAAGATGACTAGGGAAATGTGTTATTGGTGAAGAAATACATTGTCCTTTTGTTTTTAGACCAGAGGATCCAGTTTATCCTGGGAGTTGTTAAAAACTGTTGAGCATAGTCGTTAGCAACAGAGCATGGACTTCCGTAGGCCCCTCTAGTAGCCAGTGGTCAACATTGAGCATGTTGTTTGGACAAAGGCAAAGTTGTAGAATCTGAACTATTTTATTTTCCTTCCTGGCTTCCAGGGATAGTCCAGGTCAGTGATTCCCCACCTTTTTAAAGTTTTAACACCCAACTGGTCATCACTGTTTAAGTTCTTGAAGCATACACATCCACTTTAAAATGTGTTCATTATTTACACATATACATATGTAAATACATCTTAAGGAAAGAATCAAAATCCATTTTGTTTGGAGAGTATAAGATAATCTTCTTTAAGATTCCCAGAGGGACCGTGGGGTCTTACAAACCTTAAGTTCGGAATCACTGATACATACATTCTGCTCAAAACCTGGATGTAATTCAGGTCTCAGGCAGACCCGCAACTTCAAGAAAAAGGTTTTTTACTAGGAGGAAAAGGTTTCACATTTTCTTTCTCCCTTTATTTAGTTGTAGATCAGAAGCATATTTTTGTTCCATTCAGATATGTGCAAAGTTGAAAGTTCTGGATTCAGTTCAGTTTTCATGTCCTTAGAACAGGTTTGCTGTTTTCCAGGGACTCCAGCTGGGGGCGCAAGGACAGGGGGACCATGCTCTGGCTCCCCACCTGTCCTTGAAGCCACCAGGACACTGAGAGAGCTCGGGGTCCTTTAATGTCACTTTGTTAGCACCAGGACATAGGGCAGCACAAATACCGGGGTCTGTGTCCCCACCCTCAAGGAATTGGAGACTCAGTGGTGGGGCAGAGCATCATAGAGGAATGTATGAGCTTCCTAAATGTAGTCCTTACCTGAGAAGTGGGTTCTCAGCTAAAGCTTTGATTTCATACGTTATTTACACTTTAAATACATCCCTATGTTTTCTCCCAAATTGAGCCCACAAAAGCCTGAAATTACAGCTTAGTAGAATATACAACACTCACTTGTATTTGGAGTGAGTGAGTGGGAGTAAAAAATTTGGAACTCCCAGATTTTAGGACTCAGAAGAAAGGAGGAAAAGAAGGAAGGAGAGGCGAGGGATACGAGTTTGTTAATTAACTCATATTTACTGAGCCCTGGATGTTTATTATCAAGAACAATGAACCAACAGCTATTGTTTTTTGGGTGCTTCCTGTATAAGACCAGGACAGTTTAGTAAGGGATTTACATATATTCTCCTAGTCCCTCAAAACACCCATGCATTCTTGGAAGAAGAAACTAAGCACTGATACTGAGCAACTTATATTAGCCCACCTGTGACAGACAGCCAAGCTGGGCTTCCGTGTAGTTCTGGTGACTCGGCTGCCTTTTGCTGGGGGCAGCTCACCATGGTCTGTGGAGCCCTGACAAAATCCAGGTGCAGGCGTATTTGTGCTTGGAGACGTGGTCTTACTAGTGCTGTGAGGGACCCCCCTGTAGCACCCTCTCCGGGCAGGTCTGACCTTACAAAGCTCTCTTTTCTCGAGTCTTTTACTCCTCTTCCCATTGTCCAAAGCCTATTTTCTCAGTGAGGGAGATCTCAGTATTATGATTTTAGGAGGAAAGGAAATGATGAAACTTCTTTTGGCGAATGTGCTAAGGGCTAATTGCCCCTCGTAATCTCTCCAGGAGATCCCAGGTTTTCTCAGTGTTTAAAAAAAGGCCAATCTTAATGCCACAGAAGGCTTTCTAATCTTAACCTCTTTAAAACAAACAAAAACTGTGTGGGGAAAGTTACAAAAATATAGACTCTGAACTCTTAAACATAGGTGGGTCAGCTTTACCCTGTCAGACTCCCACGTGTCATACCTGTTTCTCTGCATTTCTCTCCCTTACCCTTGAACTTTTAAGTGCCTCTTAAAAGTTTTACCCACAAAGGAACTAGGGTACTGTGTGGGTGTAAAGGGTAGGGGTGGTGGGCAAGGCAGGCTTGGCTGTTTGTGGGGTATGATTTATTAATAGAGTTCTCCCTACTAGTTGGCTTGCATTAAAATTGGTTTGTGGTAATGTTTGACCAAGGAAATGGAGGTGATACAGAGGGCTGTTGCCCTGTAGGAAGAGCCTGGGACTAGTACAGATAGTGTATTTGAACCAAGGTGGAGAGCTCAAAACTTTTGTCTGTAAACAGTTTTCTCTCATCTCTTTTTTCTTTTTTTTTTTTTTAGGCACCAATTGACAATGGTTCAAAAATCACCAACTACCTTTTAGAGTGGGATGAGGTAATCATATTTTCATGTTCATCCATCTAAAACACCTTTCAAAAATGAAACTGCTGAACAAATGCCATTTTATTCTTTTTTGAAGATATGCTAAACACATGGAAAAAATAATGTAAGTAGAGAAAAATTTAAACCAATAGTTATTGACTGTGGAAAATGAAAATGGACTGAAATATAGTGAATTGTGCATTAAAATATATTTACTTGGCTTATTTGCAAGAAACGCCACAGAAAGAAAAGACAGGGCCTAACTGCTCTGAAGGCAAAGAATCTACCTGCAATGCAGGAGACACCAGTTTGATTCCTGGATCGGGAAGATCCCCTGGAGAAAGGACAGGCTACCCACTCCAGTATTCTTGGGCTTCCCTTGTGGCTCAGCTGGTAAAGAATCCACCTGCAATGAGGGAGACCTGGATTCGATCCCTGGGTTGGGAAGATCCGCTGGAGATGGGAAAGGCTACCCACTCAAGTATTTTGGCCTGAAGAATTCCATGGACCTGGAGAATTCCATAGTCCATGGGGTCGCAAAGAGGCGGACACGATTGAGTGACTTTCAATTCACTTTAATGAGTATTTAGAACTGACTTCTTTCTTATCTTGACTGCCAAGGGCCAGCCTGAATCGATAGTTTCCATAAGGTAGACCACACTGTGGCCTGAGAAGCCTAATTTGGGTCATTGCTTTCAGTTCTGTGTGCGAACAACTCTGCCCTGTTGAATGCTGTCTGGGAGTGGGGCGTGGAGGGTGGGCTGCACTGGTCTCACCTGCTCACGTGCATTTACCCTACCTAGACCATCCTAGAGCAGTGCCACCTCTGGTGTTTCTCTAACCAGAGTCCTTGTATAGCATCCATGGTGAAGTCTTTTTATAGTCAAGGCCGCTCTCTGCTGAATAGTGACCCAGTGCTTTCTGGCCTCAGTCACACTGCACAGAATCTCAGGCTGGAAACACTGGATGCAGAAATCTTCTCCTTCTAAAAAGCAACAGTATTATTCTATTCTGTTCATTCATTTACCCATGTTTTATTCTCTTTCTGTGGTAGAGCAAACGGACTAAGGATTTGAAATACAGGAAATGTGGGATTTGGGGTGCCATCCAAGTTAACTAGTCTTTGTGACTTAAATTTAAAGGCACTGAAAAATTCAGCACACAAGCTTAGGCAAAAAGTCAACTTGTCGAGAGTAGGAAAAAATATTTTAACTCAATGTTAAATGAAAACGGTGAAATTCTCATGATGAAATCTTGATGTGGAGAGGGGGCTCTTTATCACTTTTTGCAGAAGCATATTTTCCCATCTGGGTTGCGTCTGAACAGCTAGAGTTCCAAGTTAGCAAAGACAATGATCTATTGTTTCTAGGATCCTTGTGAATGGCTCCTATGTACAGATTGGTGAAATCTCAGACTTAACTAGTATATTTTACAGATTAGATGGATTTCGTTTTAAGGCGGCTTGATTGGAAGGTGAAACCATCCCCTATGGCCCTGGTGGTTGAGGTTTTACATGGAGATAGAGATTCGGGAAAGAGAAGGCTTTTTTCCTCTCACATGCCTTCTCAGAGCCCAGCACTGTGTGTGTCTTGGGGGAGGGTGGGGGGTGGGGCACGCCTGTGTTTTTCCTCTTCTCTGCCTTGGACCATGGCTTCATAAGTTAAGTAAGGTCAGAGAAGTTGAGTGCTTGAATGGGCCCTCCAAGGAAAACTCAGGTGCAACAGGAAATGGTAATGGTGACTCAGTTGTTGGCCATCTTCCCTTCGAATTTGAATTGAAGGTGTCCTGGCATGATTCTGGGAAGAACATACTACAGCCTCAGATGAAATGGACCAGCTCTGTCTAATGACCATTTATAATCAATAGGACCCACTCTTAACTGGTGACCACAAAGTGTGAAGTTGTTTATTTGGGGCCTTCTCCCGCCTTTTCCCTCCTTGCTCTCCTTCCATCCTGTCCTCGCTTTCCTCCTGGTTCTTTCCCTTTCCTCTTTATATACCCTCCCACCTTTGAATTTCTACTAGTGTCAGCTCTAATGAGCTTTCTACAGATTTCAGGCTAATTGGCTATAGGTCATCACAGGAATCCTTTTATGACCTGTGGCTTAATTATTCTTCAAGGAAGAAAATCAAACGTACACGCACAGCACACCATCTCACCTGCAGGAAGTGAGTGTACCAGGCTCTGACTCTCCCTCTGAAACCTTCGCTGGTGGTCTCTGAGCCAAGTGCAGCTGCTACCAGGTCTCCTTCCAGACCACAGCGGTTGGGGGGACGGGGGGTGCATTGGGGTAGGAGAACAGAGCAGCCTTAGGCTGGAGTCACTCCCCCCACACCCAGCCCTCTCCAGAGCCAGAGTTCGCCTCTTCCAGCCATGCTCCCCTGGCCCCTCTGGCACCCAGGGGGCTGTAGAAACAAGCTTAAAGGGCAGGAAGGAGGTAGGGTGTGCAGAGGAGCAGATCCCCACCTGAGGGCAAGCAGGTGTCCTTCAGTCTCCAAGAAACTTGTGTTCAGGAGTCACACCTGCCCCTTTCCTGGTGGAGCACCTGGTCTGAAAATCCCAGCTTGGGTGAGGTGACCCCATCCACATACATGCCCACCGTGGATGTCTGGGGGTCCCCTTATTTTTATCATATCAGCATTGGCTAAAGTTCCCAGAATACTTTATTCTTTGCCTCAATTTTTAATCACCATTCCAGTAAAATAATCGTGTAAAATTCTGAAGGTGTTACTAAACCAAGAGTACAGGGCTTCAAGTACTGCTGTCGGGCTCTAGAAAAATACCTTCATGAATGAAAGGGCGGTAGCGAGAGGCCACTGGGCGCCACCCCTGGGAATGCTGTGCTGAGTTGACTTGGGGAAAGCCACCTCAATCAATAGCTAGCCGCCTGCTGGTCTCTGAAGACAGGTGTGACCCCAATTGGGGAACAGAAAACAGAACCATGAAGCACGGGGCGGGGGGGTGGGGGGAGTGGGGACCGACATGTCCTCTGTCCTGAGTTCATTGTCAGTAACGTCACATCACTGTTCAAAGAATTCACCTGGAGGCTCCTCACTAATGGTTCTGCAAGAGGGTGTTGCATGCCTACTTTTCTCCATTAATAATTGTGCCTAGACACTCTCTTAATTTTTCCATCAATGCAGGAAGTAACTGTAACTATGAGATAGTAATAGGGAGCTGAAAATGGAACACACAGGTGTCACTGGCTTTTCGGTCATAGCCATTGGTTTCAATTTTCCCCTGAAATAGATCAGTTTTCATAACTTGGAAAGGTGTAGCCTTTCCTGGCCACGTTCCCCTTGTTGGAATGACTCAGATGAGCTGAAGTGTGAGTTCTGCTCTTAGGTGTTGTTTTAACTTCTGCTCTACAGAAATGCTAACTGTTGCTATTAGCAGCTTGTTCCTGCACATGCAGGTCTCCTAAGATCTTGTTGTGAAAACGTGGCATGGATTCATGTTGATGTGTTCAGTGGTGTGGTGTTCACCCAAGGAGAACTGGATTGTTTCTGCTTTGTCTCAAGCTAGTCAAACAAATAATTTAACCCCCCGGGTCTCAGCTTCTCCATTTGAAAAAGTGTCTGTCATCTCACAAGTAGGTTAAGATTGAATGAGATAACTTGGGCAATGACAGATTCTGTGTAATGATTAGTTCATGTCACCTAAGCACGTTAACGTTCAGATCTGGGATAGGAAAAGTCAACAATTATAGAAGGATTGTGTGAAAGAAATATGACATTTTTCTGTTGGGAATTTATACAGGAGCCCTGAGGTTAATGGCTCTGGTTTGAACTAAACAAAAACGGATGTCAATGCTATATATAGATGTTAATTTGCCATTAGCTTTGCTTCCAGACATGACATGTTGGGAATATTCGAGGGAACCAGAAAAATAGCTTTGTGGGAATGTGACTAGTGGAGTTCTCAAGAATCTCTCCCTCCACGTGACTCAGCTCACCCAAACAGGAATGTCACATCTGGGTTTCCCGGTGACTAATGAGTGAACACAGCTGTCAAACTGTAGACCACAAATGAAATAAATACGGCAGAAATCAAGGGATACTTTGAAATCAAACAGAAAAGGCCAGCAGCAGGTAGAGCCCAGAATCCCCTGGGGAACCACAGAGCAGCCAGGTTGGGCTCAGCAGCCCCATTGCAGAAACCCAGAGCAGGCCACAGGCCCCAGCCATGCATCCTCTATCATTTAGGGACTGAGCTGGCCTCATAAGGAGGTGCTTGGTTTCTGATTTATTAATCAGATTCCTGTTTAACTTGCTGTTTGTTCAGTTGCTAAGTTGTGTCCGACTCTTTGTGATCCCATGAACTGTAGCATGCCAGGCTTCGCTGTCCTTCACTTTCTCCTGGAGTTTGCTCAAACTTGTGTCTATTGAGTTGGTGATGCCATCCAGTTATCTCATCCTCTGTCACCTTCTTCTCCTCCTGCCCTCAATCTTTCCCAGCATCAAGGTCTTTTCCAATGAGTCAGTTCTTCACATCAGGTGGCCAAAGTATTGGAGCTTCAGCTTCAGTCATCAGCCCTTCCAGTGAATATTCAGGGTTGACTTACTTTAGGATTGAATGGTTTAATCTCCTTGCTGTCCAAGGGACTCTGGAGAGTCTTCTGCAACACCACAATTCAAAAGCATCAATTTTTAGGCACCTGTTTAACTTAGATGTTAGTATTGGTAGTCTTTCAAAAGGCTTCTTGCCGTAAGTGAATTCGCATATGGTGTTTCTGGTTAGGCAATAGCCTTTCCAGGAGGAACCATAGCATTGACAAGCAGAGTGACTTACAGAATGGATGAAGAGAGCCTTGCCGTGAGTGCTGCTGTCTCTGGGAGCCCTGCTGCCCGCGGTTACATAGCCTGCTGCTCCAGTGGAGAATGCCAGAAAGGCCAGTGTCCACTCCCCAGTCCATCACCAATGCCTGGACGCAAGTAAGGGGAGGCTGCCACTCGCCCAGGCCCATGAGCTCTTCTGCTCATTCTTGAGAGTGAGAATGAGTAAGTCCTTTA